CAACACTGGGCACATGGATATTTGCAATTGTTATATTCTCCTGATGAATTACCCTTTTATCATTATGGGCCCAAAGCTGAACTGACTTTTTTGTAGGCAGTATATGGTTGTGTCTTTTTTTTTTTAATCTATTCACCCCCTCTACGTGTGTTGATAGGAGAATTTTATCTACTTACATTTAAAATAGTGTTAGGTAAAGAATTACTATTCCCATCGTAAATATTTTCTGGTTGTCTTACAGTTTCTTTTTCCCTTTCTTCCTCTCTTGCTACCTTCCTGTATTAATTGATAATTTTCCATAGTGTTATGCTTTGATTCACCTTTTTCTTTTGTGTACCTACTGTAGGTACTTACTTAGTGGTTACAATGAGGCTCTCATAAAATATCTTATAGTTACAACAGTCTATTTTATGCTGATAACTTAACTTTGACCACATACAAAAATTCTACCCTTTTACTTTACCCCATACTTTATGTTTTTGATATTACGGCTTATGTCTTATTGTTATCTATTAAAAAATAATTTACTTATAGTTATTTTTAACCCTTTTGTTCTTTATTATTTATAATAGATTTAAGTACACCACCACATTAGGTTATTCTGAATTAGACTATATACTTAACTTTTACTCGTGTATTTATATTCATGTTTTCATGTTATCAATTAGTGTTCTTTCATTTCAGCTTGAAAAATTCCTTTCAGCATTCCTTGTAATACAAGTCTAGTGGTGATGAACTCTCTCACCACTTTTTCTTTCGGGGGGTGGGTCTGGGAAAGTCTTTTATTTCTGAAGGGCAACTTTCCAAGGCACAGTATCTTGGTTGGCAGTTTTTCTTTCAGCACTTTGAATATATCATCACTCTCTCTCCTGGACTGCTAGGTTGCTGCTGAGAAATCTGATAACAGCCGTATGTGAGTTCCCTTGGATGCAAGGATTTTCTCTCTCTTGCCTTCTCCCACTGTCTTTGATTTTAGACAGTTTCATTATAGTGTGTCTTGGAGGAGATCATTTGGGGTTGAAATTGTTTAGAAACCAGTGAGACTCAAGAGCCTACTTGGAATTGGGAAGATCTCAGCCATTATTTCTTTAAGTAAGCTTTCTGTTCCCCTCCCTCTCCTCTACTTCTGGAATGCCAATATTTTATAGACTGTTTCCCTTAATTTTATCCCACAATTTGCACAGGCTCATTTCACTCTTTTCCTTTCTTTTCTGTTTATTCTACTCTGATTGGATTTGTAACCACACTCACTTCTCTCTCGTCCCCATCTCCTTATTATCCCCCGGTAACCACTATTCTATTCCCCGTTCATAAATTATATTAAAACATTATATAAATGGAGTCATATAATATACAACCTGTAGTGATTTCTTTTCTCACTCAGCATAATTCCTTTGAGATTCACCCAGTTTGTTGCATGTACCAATAGCTGGCTCCTTTTTACTGATGAGTAATGTTCCATGGTATGAATGTACCACAGTTTGCTTAATTCTCACTCAATGAAGGACATCTGGGTTGTTTCCAGTTTGGGTTATTATGAACAAAGCTGCTATGAACATTAGTTTAAAGGTTTTTATGTGAAAATAAGTTTTCACTTCTCTGGGATAAATGTCCAAGAACATAATTGATGGGTCATAAGGTAGTTGTATATTTCATCTCTTAAGAAAGCGCCCAACTATTTTCCTGAGTGGCCGTACCATTTTACCTTCTCACCAGCAAGGTATAAACAACTCAATGTTTCTGCATCCTTGCCAGCATTTGGTGGTGTTATTATTTTTATTTTAGCCTTTCTAATATTGTGGTTTTAATTTGCATTTCTTCAGTCATTAATGATATTGAACATATTTTCATGTGCTTACCTGCCGTCCATATTCCCTATTCAGTGAAATATCTGTTTACTTTTTGCCTATTTTCTAATCTGAGTAGGCAGATTTTTTACTGTTGAGTTTTGAGAGTTCTTTATATATTCTAAACACTAGTATTTTATCAGATCTATGATTTGCAAATATATTCTTCCAGCCTGTAGCTTGTCTCTTCATTCACTTCACATGGTCTGTCACAGAGCAAAATTTTCCGTTTTGATGAGGTCTACTTTATCGATTTTTCACTTTGTGGTTCAAGATTTTGTTGTCAAGTCTAAGAACTTCTCTGCCTACCCCTAGATCCTAAAACTTTTCTCCCATTTATTTTAAAATACTTAGTTTTAAATTTGAGCCCATATGTTTTAAGTTTAGTTTCAGGTTCTTTTTTAAAATGTTTGTCCTATGGAAGTCCAATTGTTTCAGCACAATTTATTGAAAACGCCATCCTTCCTTCCTCCAGTGAATTGCTTTAACACTTCTGTCAAAAATCAGTTGCGTTAATTTATGTAGGTCTATTTCTGGGCGCTCTGTTCTATTCTGCTGAGCTAATATGTCTAACCCTCTGCCAACACCACACTCTCTTGGTTACCGTAGCAATATGATTAGTGTTGAAATCAGGGTAGACTGATTACTCCAGCTTTCTTCTTCTTTTTCAAGATTATTTTAGTAATTCTAGCGTACTATTCTGATTTTGAGCCGACCCTAAAACCTCTGGAGATGGGGCTATGCTCACGGATCTAGGGAATTTCATGAAGACAGCCTGAAATAGTTTGATGGATCAGGAATTAGCACAGAACCCTCAAAAAGTTACATAGCAATTCTTAAAACCAAGGTAGTATGATAGGCAAATGTAAAATGAAAAGGCCTTCCTTGGACCTAGGCTCTGTCCTCAGTAGACTGAGTTGATAAGGTCCCATGGCATTACAGTTGGGGTTGAAAAGGGACACTAGAATGATTACCTATCCAATTACATTGCGTTAGAGAAATCTTAACAAGAGTGCTTTTCCATCGCTTTCAGGGTCATTGGAATGGTTAAGGGAGCTAACTTTCATTGATACCTGAAAGAACTCCCTTCTTGCACTTCCCATGCACATGACATAACTATTAAATTACTAAGTTTGACAACTACTTCCTCATGTGTAGTAACTTTGAGTCTCAAAATATATCAGTCACCGCAGCCCTGGACTAGGGGAGCCTTAAAGACTAGAAATAGAAATAAGGGAAGAAATTCATAGGAATTCTTGGAGGTTTGAAAATAGATGAGTTTCTCTGAAGTCTTAAGATTGCTCTTCAAGGTGGAAAGCTGTTCAGTGTGAATCAGTGTTTAGATACTGGGAGACAGACCTGAAAGCCTGAAAGGGGCTTGAGACTAGACAGGGAGGTCAAAGAAACTGACAGAAAGTCTTGGTATGATTAAGCAGGACTGTTTTCCAGCTGCTTGCTTTGTGGAATTTTCCCAAGCTTTAAGGAGTCTCAGTGAAAAGACCAGGCAGTGTCAGATGAGCTTGAGGGAACCTGGGCTGAGGTAAAGGGGCACCATTCCATCACGAAGGTCAGTGTGGTGAGGACAGTGAAGGAAATCAGAGTGCAAGACGCTCAGGAAGTGAGAGCCTCCTGGAGACAGAGGCAGGCCACTCGGACAGTAGCTCCTTTGTAGCCTGAAGTCTCTCCATCTGCCTGGGGCTCTTTTCTGCTCATATGTCTGGGTAAAGAAGGGGCATAGTCTCTCACAGAATTCTCCTATTCATACAGATCATATCTTTACTGAGAGTAACTCCAGATTGCTTTCTAACACTACCCCTCACGTTTCCACCCACAAGAGGTTAGGACTGGTTGCCTTTAATTCCACATCTAAAGAGAGTCACATTTGCATGATGAGGAAAAGAGCCAATGAGGGCCTCCCAAGGGCAAGAAGCAATAAGCAGTTAAAAGGACGGTCATGTCTAGTTAGAGGGGCTCCAGCTAGGGACACTGCTTAATTGGAAATCAGATATGCACAGGCATGTAGCCTCCTCATTGAAAAAGAGTGTCATCGGGAATAATTAAGGGTGCTTTATGTGACTGCTGGAATTTCAGACAACGTGAATCTGATCATTTTGTGTGGTGACTCATTCTGAACCAGAGCCCACTGAGCGAGCCCAAGGAAGGGCCTGGGAAATGTGAGGTCTCACTGAGATTGCTCACCCCTGGGGACAATGACAGTGGCTATCAGTAATGGTAGCGTTTGTTAGTAATTGAGGTAAGACAAAAAAAAAAAGTGAACTGTTCTTTCTCAAAATGGAGAATCAGCAGAACCCTGAGGTGAAGTGGGGGAGAAGGGGACTTATACTCAAGCTGACTTATGGGTAGAGTCACTTCGCCCAGAAGGTCCTCAGTTTTCTCATCTAGAAAATGGGGCTAATAATGCCTACCTTTTTAGGGGTGCTATAGAGATAAAATGAAACAAATCATGTAAAATTACTGGGATTGAAAAGGCCCTCAAATACACAGAGAGTAGTTCCTTCCCTTGGTTCACCTAAGCATTTTAATTTTGTCTAGTTCATGAAAACGAGAAAAGGGGGCTTCGTTTCATATTCAAGCTGATTTTCAAGGTATGTTTCTTGTGTAAGCACCTTCATTTATAGTTTGCAGAGAAAGAAATGAATATCTGAATCTTTTTGATTCAGTATGAAATTCTTGATTCTGATTTGGAATTCTGGATATGCCAAATGTCCTCATACCAATGAAAGCTATACACATTTCGCTAATATATTTATACTTATTAAAAAATTCTACACATTTTTCTATTGTCTATCAGTCTCTAAATTGTTAGCAGAGTTTAGCTTTTCACTCACATTTATTTAAGTAAAAAGAAAAAGAGCTTCCTTTTTTTTCCTTGTACCCAATGAGCTACCTTCGGACATAACTACCTTACCCTAGTCATTCCTCAGCCTTGAACTTTTAAGGCCACTTGCCATGTATAACCATTGACACCTGAGAACCCGGACGCTCCCCAACACCCCAAGTGAACCTCAGCATGGAAACAAGCCTAGGAATACGCAAGCACATAGCCTATGGCTTCCCAGTCTCCCGAAGACGGTGAAGTCTCCCGAAGACAGGGGCCGGGGGGCAGGGAGAGTTGGTAAAAGGCAGCTTTACCTTTTTGTTTAGAGACTTTTCTCACAGTCATTGCAGCCTGTCTCTTCTGGTTTTCAGAAATTTCAAAGCCTAAAACATAAAAACACATGATTATGTTAAGAGAAGCATAGACCTTTCTTAAATGCATAAATTAGTACATCTCTAGAAGAGTATTTCTGGCAAGATATAGCAAACGTCTTGAGACATGAAAAAGGAAAGTAGTCAGAAACTTGGACGAAAATTTAGCTACAAAGATGCACTTTACAGTACAAAGGGGCAAAAACAAAAAAAAAAAAAATACGAGGCTGTTAAATGGAGAATGGTTGAATAAAATATGGTATGAAGTAGAAACAAATATTTCACAACCAAAAGCAAAAATACAAAGTAAAAAAAAGTCAAAAGATAAGAGATTGCAATAGAAAATGTACATAGATATAAGAAAAGTTTCAGAAGAAAAAATCAAATGGCACAAAGTAATTAATGAAATAACAGAAATGTCAGTGCAACTCCTTTGCCCATTTTTTTTACTGAGCTATTTGATTTTTTACTATGAGTTGTAGGAGTTCCTTATACGCTTTGAAAATTAAAATCTTATCAGATATATGGTTTGAAATATTTTCTCCCATTCCACAGGTTGCCCTTCCGTTCTGTGGATTATTTCCTTTGCTGTGCAGAGGTATTTTAGTTTTATCTACTCCCACTTGCCTATTTCTGCTTTGTTGCCTAAGTTTTTGGTATCATGTTCAAGAAATCATTGCCAAGATCAAAGTCAAGAAGATTTTTACCATTATTTTGCATGTTGATATCTACTTTTCCCAGCACCATTTTTTGCAAGAAACCATCCTTTGCTAGTTTTGTATTCTCGGCACCCTTGTTGAAGACATATTGACGTACATGGGTGAGTTTATTTCTGGGCTCTCTATTCCATTCCCTTCATTTATATGTCTGTGTCTATGGTAGTACCACGCTGTTTTAATTACTGCACTTTTGGAATATATTTTGAATCAGGAAGTGTGATGCCTTCAGCTCTATTTTTCTCTCTTAGATATCTTTAGCTATTATGGGTCTTTTTTGGTTCTACATGAGTTTCAGGATTGTTTTTTCTATTTCTATAAAAGTATCATTGGACCTAGAGGGTATTATGCTAAGTGAAATAAGTCACACAAAGAAAGACAAATACCACACAATTTCACTTATGTATGAAATCTAAAAAGCAAAATAAACAAAATAGAAATAGACTCATAGATACATACAGAGAACAGACTGAAGGTTGCCAGAGGGAAGGGGGTCTGGGGTTCTGGCAACCTAAAAAAGGTGAAGGGATTAAGAAGTAGAAATTGGGCCCTGACTGGTGCAGCTCAGTGGACTGAGCACCGGCCTGCGAACCAAAAGGCCGCTCATTCGATTCCTGGTCAGGGCACATGCTTGGGTTGCGAGCCAGGTTCCTGGTTGGGGGCATGTGACAGGCAGCTGATTGACATTGCTCGCGCACATCGATGTTTTTCTCCCTCTCTTCCTCCCTCTCTTTCCCTCTCTCTAAAAATAAATAAATAAAATCTTTTCTTTTTTTTTAAAGTACAGATTGGTCAAGTGAATGTTATTCAATATGTGCAGTGACCACAAATGTCTTACAGGCATCTTAGCCCTCACCAAAACTGGGTATAAGAATCCAATAAATCCCACAGCCTATACCCTTTAGAAGGAAGCCTGAAGCTTACGATTGAAAACAGGTGCCATGTGTTGACCCTCATCAGCGGATTCTGTCACCAGACTCTGACTAGAGAGTTAGCTGAACCCTGTCACTATAATATTAGCAAACCTGCCTTGACTAACCTTTTCACAGAAGATGCTGTCATGTATCTTAGAATAGAACAGAGACTGCACTGAGATCACGGAATAGGCTGTATGAGTGCTTTTGTGTTGGTTTGCTAATAAATGTTTGTATGTTTGAGAGAATTGAGTCTGAGGTTTGCTTTCAGTGTAATAGTTTTATCTTGCAATGAGATTCTAGAAGAAGCCGACCCGTAACTCACTTAACCCTGACTGATGGAAACTGCTGGTATCTATCAAAAAGCACCTAACAATAGGCAACTGACAAAGTAGATTAAGTCAGTTTGCAATAGAAATCTTCCTTCTGCCTCTAGAAAAATGGAAACTATTTCAAATCCTCTATGTGCTTTATAACTATATTCTTCTTTCTCTCCTCAGGTCACTTACCAATTTTTTCATCTTCCTGTACCATTTTCCTCTCTTCTCTGAAAGCCCTGAGCCAACGTATCTTCTCTTCCAGCTTCTTGGCAAAGAATAGATGGACCTCCTCAGTCTCCTTGTTGTGAAGCTTAAAGGCGTTCTTCATGCTGACATTAAAGTCATCATCTCGGCCATCTTCGATGTCAACTACCTCATATTTATCCATGTCGATGCGGCCTTTGTAGTATAGGATGTCTCTCCGAATCAGGTCCTAGGGGAGAAGGAAGAGAAGGCTTCTGTTAAAGGTACGTAGAGAGTGGGTCCCGGGAGAGTTGGCACATGGGCACATCATGATGCATAACATGCCACTGTTTTGGAGAACCAATGGGGCTTGGTTGGGTCTGAGTTTGGGCAGGTTAACTTAGCAGTACAACATTGACAGGTCGGTTAACTAGATGCACTTAGAGAAAGTCTCTGTCCTACATCCAAAGGCTCTATCTCAGAACCCAGCATCAGTCCTTATATACGGTTCCAAGATTGCTGATAGGAAGCAGGAAGCATTGAGCCACACAGGCACTGCTAGCAAAGGCTTTTCCTATTCCAAAGTATTGGCAAGCCTTTCAGAGGTACAATGCGAGCTGGCTGGTTGTCATCATTGTTGTTTTGCTCTTGAATGCACAGAACTGGCTTAATCCTAACTCTCAGTTCACAAGAAACTCAGCATTAGTATATGAATGATGTTCTTATTTCTATATAGTTATTTACTTAATTACTTTTAATATCATATTAAGTTTTAGTGAACCCATCACCCAATCCAAAAGCCATGATGCCACGGCAGCCTCCACCTCAAATCCTATGCTCATCATTCCCTTGATTTTACTTCTACATAGTTTATCTCATCTATATCTATTCCACTTACAGAAGGTTTCAAAACCAAAAATTGCCACATGATGTTTAAGGACACATACATATGTATAAAAACTATACGAAATATAATAATACAGGAGAAATTCAAGACAGTGCAAAGAGGAGAATGGGAAGAGGCAAGGAAGGAAGGGAAAAAGCAGAGATGGAGAAGAGGAAGACTATGAAAAAAATATTTCTAGCCCTGGCTGGTGTGGCTCAATGGATTGAGCACAGGCCTGCGAACCAAAGGGTCACAGGATTCGATTCCCAGTCAGGGCACATCCCCAGTTGGGGGCACGCGAGGAGCAACCGCACATTGATATTTCTCTCCCTCTCTTTCTCCCTCCTTTCCCTTCTCTCTAAAAATAAATATAAATAAATAAATAAATAGGATAGTAAGTCTATGGGTGAGCATTATATTATTTTTGTATCTTTTTGAATGTCAAATATGTCATAAGTTAAAAAAAGAAAAACAGAGACAGAGGGAATGACCCGTGAGCCTACAGAATGTAACGTCTGACGAGGGTGTCTCTCCGAGTGGCTTTTCAGCCCCTCTTCCTCTCGGCGCTGTCCGAAGCTTCCCCTGAGGGCACACCTAATGCTGGGACATGTGGTGTGGCTGAGTCTGGCCAAAGAGGACCCCAGGGAACCCTGTCCTGACAGATGTCCTTTGTTAGTGGTAGGGGCCCCTTCTGGCCAACTGTCCCTCCTGTGTGCTGGGACTTGAACTTTCAGACAGCCACATCCCCAATCCTAAGTCTTCACGCTCCATGGTAAACTGGGCTTTCCGGGACGGCTGGGGAAGGCTGTCCTTAAGGATTCCCAACATAGCTCTGTCAATCATGAAGTGTCAGGCTGGAAAATACAGATGTTATTGAATTGCTTTGCAAAAAATAACCATCACATTGTTCTTTTCCCACCCAATAATGATCGTTCACATAAATAGGCTGTGAGTACAGATGGGTTCTGATCTGTTGGGTGCCCCTGGCATCAATCTCCCAGAAGAGGACAAGGTCAGCTGCATAGAGTGGGCCAACATGGCTCCAAGCCTATTTCACAGCCTCGGTTCCCTTCACGAGGCTCAAGGCGGGCAGACTCGGTCTGGCCAAAAGAGTGGGGTGGCTCCCATGCACTGACTTCCACATCTCCAGGAACGCTTTGTGAGAAATATGGATTAAAAGTGGACTCTTTCAGCTGATCTCACTACAAAAGCAGGACAGGCTGAGAACGGATCCACATAACCTAGTTTGATCTCGTAGAGCCTTGAAACCTGCCTTACAATACATAATGCAAATACACATAAACCTAGGAATCCAGATCTGGACCACACGGGTGAGTGCCCACCACGCGAGAATGCAGCCAGCCTCCACCTTCCTCTATTCCTAACTGCAGCCTGCAGCTTCCTTTTCCTCCGAGTTGCTGTCCTAATCACTGTCAACCTTCAAAACCTTTACTGATTTCCAAAAACGGAAAGGATGTACGTGATCTTGAAGCTAAATTAAAAGCATCAACTGAACCTCCTATTGTGGTTGGGTATTTTTTTTTTTTTAGGTATTTAAGGATAACAAGCAACTAGAGATAGTTCTGCCTCTGCAGCAGGGGAACAGGGCTAGAGAGATGCGTCATTCAAATCCTCCCTTTGCCTGTTCTTTCTGACTCCCCAGGGAGTTGAATATGGTGTTTTCAGACACCAGATTAGTCATAAAGCCAAGTGTAACGATGTGATAGAAATGATTAAGAATGATCCACTGCTCAGAAAATCCAATCAGAAGGGGTAGTTAAGGCCACAAAGCAGTATGAAACAGTGGAAAGAGTGAGTTAGAGTCTCAAGCCCTGCATCTGAGTCCCAGTTGCTTAACCTACTAGCTGTGTTGTCTTGGGCAAGCTGCTTAACCTCTCTGAGCCTCAATGTCCTCATTTATGGAACTAGGAGAATCATCCTTACCTTGGAAAATGGTTGTAAAGCTCAAATCCACACAAGCAGTGACCCGGGCATGAGGCCAGCACCTCATAAATACGGTGCTGAGCTGTCTTACTCCCAGACCAATGTTTTGTACCACTCTAAACCCCTTTCGATAAACCTAAAAGTCTCAATGTCTCCTTTAGTCCATGTAAACTTTCAAAGCCAGTTAAATATTGACTGAAAATAAATCACAGCAAAGTTAACTCTGAACATTTCAAAATTTACGTAGCTTCCCTACTATCCCTGGAAATTCCACACACCCTTTCAAGGCAGGAGTAGGGGTGGTGGCGGCGGGTGGTTTGCCACCCACTCACCAAAATCACAGACCTATAACTGGGTTCACACTAACACGTCCTCCCTGCCCCAACGATGCCTCCTATTCAATACTGCTTAGCCTTCAAGGTCAAATTCACACATTCCTCCTCCCCAAAGAAGCCTTCCCTGACTGCACCCCCCAGCTCTTCACTTCAGTTTCCCTTTTTTGGATGCTAGCAGACTATACGCCCTCATACAATTGACACTCCACCACCACACTGGCGAGCGGCATTTGTTCCGTTTCACAGCTTTTCGTTTTGCCTGCCCGTTTAAGCTGTGCCAAGCACAGTGCCTTCCTTGGTCTTGCTTCACTTAGGGGTTGTCCAGGGAAGCAAAGCTGACAAAGCCTCCAAGGTTTCTCTGCTCAGCTTCTGCTCACAGCGAGGAGGCAAACCTCTCTGCGCCCCGGCTGCCTGTGGTCCTGTCGGGACCAGGCCACCCCCATATGCCACCTGTTAATGGTGGACTGAGTGCTTTCATTGGGACGTGGTGAATAGGCGCTCACCACAGATGCTATCTGGGTTGCCAGGTTCCCTGCCTAAATGGCATTGTTTGTAACAGTATGCCAGCCTTCCTCATGTTTCCTTCCACTGATCCGAGATGGAAGGTACTAAGGAAGCTGGGACTTCCCCAGGAGCGCCCCGGAGGTCTGCAGACAGGCACCCAGGCCCGAGCCATGGCTCCGGCCAGAAACCTACCCCCATTCCTGACATTACATAACTGAAACAGCTGGGAGCTGTTTGAATTTGGACTCACTGCGTTTTCACAGGGTTTAGGGAGATACCGCAGCACACTCTGTCCAAATGACAGATGCTGCAATCTGGGGAATGCAACTGTTCAGGACTGCAGTCTGTCTTGCTTGTCAATAAAGCCCTCCCCACCCTTTTAGAGGGGGTCCGGGTGACTGCTCCCGAGCCTGGGTCAGCCTGGTTTTCCCTCCAGATCCTGGGGAAGGCACAGGGGCTGGCACTGGATTTATCTTTCTCATTATTTTATTCGAGCATCTAGAGCGCATGCTTCTTAGTAACAACAATGTAACAGTGGACACTGAAGAGCAGAAATGATGTGCCGAACTCGATTCTAAATGCCTTCCATTTTTCTCCAGCTTTACTGAGGTATATATTTAAGATATACAACATGGTGTTTTGCTCTACATATACACTGTGAAATAATTACCACAATCAAGCTAATGTACATATCCATCTCTTTTTCTGTGATGAGAAAATGTAAGATGCACTTTCTTAGCAAATGGGAAGAATACAACAAAGTGTCGCTCGCTACAGTTACCACGCTGGTACACTAGCTCTGCAGAACTGATGCGTCCTGCGTCACAAAGTTTTTACCCTTTGACCAATATCTCCCTATTTCCTCCACCCCCACCAGCCCCTGTTAACAGCCATTCCACTTTCTTTCTTTATGAGTTCAACTGTTTTAAATTCCACATATGAGTGAGATCATATGGCATTTGTCTTTGTCTCATTTTATTAGTGTTCATCCATACTGTTGCAAATGGCAAGAGTTCCTTCTATTTTAAGGCTCAATAATATTCCATCATGTGCGTATCACATTTTCTTTACGCACTCCTCGATCGCTAGATGCTTTGCATTTAGTAACTTAAATAATCCTCACAACAGTTCGACAAGGAATGTACTGTTATAACCCCATTTTAGGAGGAACTGTAGACATAGAGCAGTTAAGAAACTTGTCCAGGAATAAAAAAATACTAAATGGTAGAGCTGGGCTTCGGATCCAGGCTATGTGGCTCTAGAATCTATGTTTGACTGACCTTCTGGATACTGCCTCGCAATGAAAATGTGCTGAATAAATGGTTAGAAATGCTAAATGTGCAGTAATAGTATCAATGGCTAAGTACTTACTATGTTCCAGGCACTGCAACTATACTGTCTCATTTAACCTTCTCGACTTCCCTTGCATGTAGACGCGATTACGATTCTTGTTTTGCCAATGGAAGAATGAAGAATAGGTACAGAGAGTTTATCCAAGGTCAAGCAATTCATGGGAAAAAAGAAACCGGTGCCCTGTTGTTTGGCCCTAGAATCTGTGCTCTTAAGACTACTTAACTGCTTTCCACTAACTCAGGTGGTTCTTTTAAAAGTCTCCTAAGATAAACTCTATCATCAACCTGGTTTGACGTGGAGGAAAAAGAAATATTTAAATCTAAAGAACTGCCCACATTTAGACAAATTAGTAAGAGACAGTAGAATCTAGGACCCGGGCATTCTGGTTTCAGATCCTCATCTTCTTCCTGTCCTATCCCCATCTCTGTTGCTATTTTTGTATTTCTAGTTGTTCCAAATGACTCAACCTCCAAGTCCAGCTAATTAGTGCAAGAAGAAATGGCCCCAATGCAGAAAGTTCCTTAATCAGAAGAAGTCCTTTCTCTAGCATATCATTACACTCTGTTTAGTTTGGACCCTCCCAGAATACAGTGAAAGCAACGTAAATGCTGACTAGTCATTACACGGGAAACAATAGAGCATGTCCACATTGGCACCACGGAGGACAGAAGATACAAGAAAAAGGCTGACTGGTGCAACTGCTGGGCTCTAGGCACGTTAGTGGATGGAATGACTGAGCAGAGGAGAAAGGGACTCTCCTCCCATGTCTGGTAAAAAGCGAAAGGGAACACATGATAAAAAGGAGGAAAAAAAATCCCCCAAAGCAGCAAAATAATTTCCAGTATAATCACCTCAGAAATTAAAAAAGAAAATGTATCTGCAGAACTGAAATAGCAGGACAATGAGATGAAGGGGAGCAGAGACAGTCATTGTAGAGGATAAGAAGGAAAAGAACAGAGTCTTATCTAGAGTCTTCCAAAGAAAAGACGGAGGGCCTGGGCTGGTGTGGCTCAGTGGATTGAGCACCCGCCTGTGAACTGCAAGGTCCCCGCTTTGATTCCCAGTCATGCCTGGGTTGCGGGCCAGGTCCCCAGTAGGGGGCGCACAAAAGGGAACCACACATGGATGTTTCCTCTCTTTCTCCCTCCCCCTCTCTTAAAACTAAATAAATAAAATATTTTTTAAAAAAGTAAAAGAGGGAAGACAACAAAATTTAAATAAGGGATCACATAATTAGAAGCTATTAGTATCCTCACACCTACTATAATGGCCATTTAATTAATAAACATATATAAATACATATGTGTGTGTATACAGACACACTCTAAATCAAGCCATAAGTTTTTTAAAGCTGCTCTAAGTGGCTCAGGCAACCCCAATTTCCAATATACAAAATGGGAAAGTTTTTGCATAATAATGTACAAAATGAGGAAGTTTTGTATAAATGAAGTTTTTGCAATGAATCTTAAGAATTAATCCTTCAAAATCTTGTCCCCTGATTTGATCAAAGTCCTAGGAAGAGTTGAGGGTAGCTAAGAAGAGGCCTGGGTGCTTGGCCAAGTTCTTGAATCACGAAAGTTCTCTCTTCCAAGGTCAGCTCCAGATCAAGGTAGTTACTGTACCCATTTAACTAACCAGCTAGTGGTCCCGGAGCTGGCATTTCAAGCTTATCCCCCACAATGAGGCACTTAGACTCAAAACTCCATTTGTTCCCTCAATCCACCATCAAAGGCAAATGGACAAAGATTTAATGCAAGATGTGGCACACACAGAGAACAGGGTGTTTAGAAACAAACATGTGTGGTTCGTGTCTCAGGCTGGAAAGAAAATAACAACATGAAACTAGGTGTTTCAAGTCTCACTATTGCTCTTTAAACACATTTACTAGTGGATGGGGATGAGAACAAACAGACTGGATGATGGAGTAAGAGCCAAGGGTAGGACAACACATTTGGAAAGTCACTCTAAGCATTCTTCGTTGTTTTCTTCCCCTTTTCCTTTTCCTGGAAATCTTCCCAACCGCTCTCTGGAACCAAAAGTGGTCTGAACTCACTTATGTAGAGGGAGGACGTTAAGGGGGAACAGTAGTATGCCATCAGGCGGTATCAATCTGAGAACATATGCCATGCTCCTACCTGCCAAGGGTAAGAGACCAAGGAAACAGCACTCACACTGAGTCAGCCAGAGGTCAATGGCAAGAGTATGGCCCCTCCTCAAGTGGCTTACAGAGAGTGGAGAAGAGCACAGATGAGAGTTATAGGGAAGTGATACAACTTGTGTAGAAAATGGGTAAGGACACGGGAAATTCTTGGACCACAAAAGTCCATACCTGTCAGGAAAAGGTAGGAGACCCCTTGGTCGTTCCTAGGGCAGTGAGAGACCACGTGGCCAGAGCCATGAAAGCAAAAATTGGGGGAAGTGCTCAGGGAAGCCACTGTTCACCAACTGGGATAGAAATATTTAACTGTTTCTGGTGAGAAGGATCACTGTGGGGGGCAGGAGGGTAAATGGTCAAAAACTATATTAAGACAAAAACGCACCAGCTTCAGAGCTTCACTGCCCATAAGCCAGCTCTGTCTGTGATATTCATGCCATACCAGTGATCCCGATATGAAATTACTGCCAACCTCCTGTCTGTTTTTCACCCATCAGTTTTAGCCCACTTTCTTGAGAGCTGGGATGACGAAGAAGGAAAGGCTGGTGCCCCCGGAAGTGCCCGTATCCCTCAGGGAAGGAAGGGGTGGGATTACCTTCTTGCAGAGGACCATCTGGTGGTCGAACAGGAAGAAGACCCGCTGCTGGTTGCGGCCATAGGGCTGGTAGATCCAGGCCATCTCCCCGGTGTAGATCAGCTCAGAGCTCCTGTCTAGGATATCCTCGCCCTGGGAAGGACACGTGACAGTGAGAGGCAGCCAGGTAAGAGGGATGGACCCATCACCTGCCTGGAGGCACCTAGGGCTGGGCACGGTCTGGGGCAGGAGGAGAACAGAAACGACTGGTGGGGAAGGAGGTACGAAGGGAGGGACTCCTGGGAAACGCTAAAAAGCTCTATGAGATGGAAAGACTCTTGTCCACCCTGAGGACGAAAGAGCCCCGTTCATTCTCTAATTCTCCCTCTTTTTCTCTATGAATCTCTCTCTCTGCCCCAGTATTTCCTCCCAGCTCTGGTCTCTTAGGCCCTTTCCTGTACCTGAAGAGTAAGCCTGAGCAGGTGGTAGAAGTCTGTCTGCTTCCCCGATGAGAAAAAGGGGACGGGGAGCCCACGGAGATGATGATAGAAGGAAAGAGAATGCACTCACCCCCTTAAAATAGTTTTTCTATCCTCCTCTCAGTTCACTAAAATCTATTGATTAAATGGGAAACTTCATGACCACATGCTCCCTTGGTTTATTATACACAGAGCCGGAAACCACTTCTGTTCCTTGCTATGTACAGTCGGACACACAAAAATCACCAAGACATATGATTCCTAACTCATTCAGTTCTACTGTTTCTAAGGGCTCCTTCTTCATGGCAAGTCTGCTAGGTCAGAGGCAAGTGGAGGTGACTGTCAGATGCCAAGTTAAACCTGGCACCTATTCTCAAGGACCTTACATCCTCAGTGGAGGCGACTAGGACAGGTGTGCTCAGATCTCCTGGAACACAAGGCAAACAACACGAAAGCCGTGGGCACAGGTGGGTGTTCCTGGGCCTATATGAAGACGGGGACAAAAAGTTGTGGCCCAGAACTCAGGAGAATTAATAGTTACTGAGCATCCATATTGGTCAGACGTTGTTTTACATACTTTAACTCTATCTTTCTTGACTCTCACAATTATCCTGGTGGATGGATATCCTTGCTCTCATTTTATGGTCGGATGTACAGAGAAGTCAAGTGATCAACCAAGGTCATCTAGTTACTTAGCTACAGATCCACAACCAAACCCCAATTCTGAGGCTCCAGAGAATGTGCTCCCTCTTGTCACTGCATTATGCTTTCTCTGGGCCAAAAATCACTGGAGGGCTGGTCCCTTCCTCTCTCCGGGACCTAGTTTTTCAAGCTGTTAAATGAGGTGTATGAGGATGATATCTAAGTTCCTAGCCCTGAAGCTCTGATGCTAAGATCTGAGCCTTACACCCAAAAGCTTGAAGTCAAGGTTAGAAACGGGGGCTGCTGCATCACCCCAGAAATAACCAGAGTCAAACAGCCTAGGCAGGGCATTGAGCCCAAGAGAGGGGTAGCTGGGAATGATACTCTCAAGTATACCATTTTTTTCCCAGTCTAAGGTATGAAAAGGAAAAGAAGAGCTCACTGGGAGTATTTTCTAACAATACAACCTCAGAAAGAAAGCTCCAGGATACTACTGTGCTCCAGGCTCCACCCCAGGGATACCTTGGAACTTAGTTAAGATTCTCCTCCTTGAGGGACCCACAAACTAACAAAGAACCCCAGGAGGCCCTGGGCGGGGAGGGGAAGTCCTCAGAGGGAGGAAGCTGTAGCGCCCTTTCCTGTTGTAGGAATCGAAAGGTGAGGTTGGTATCAGTCTGCCATGTCCCATCCTGAGGCACAGAAGGAAAATGTGCCACCGTCTGTTTTGAATATGTATGAAGTGAAAGAGAGCTATCAAAAGGGGCCCATGCCATACAAAGATGGTCAGGATTACTTTGAGATGCAACACTTGCTAAAAAGAGAATGATCAGACCAGGACTAGGACTACTCACGGTTATCTGGTCCACCCACTGTACCAGGCAGTAGCCCAATTCTATTCTAAGTACTTCTTGTCACATGTAACTCTACAAACAAACAAGTAAACACTTGAAAAAATGAATTTCCTATGTTCACCAAGCTGGCTGACAGCTGATGTCAGGTAACTCACATAGCCCCTCTGTGCCTCAGTTTCCTCATCTTTAAAATGAGGATAATAGCAGTACCAACCTCATTTGCCTGTTGTGAAGATTATATAAATTAACCTATATAAAGTGCTTAGGCCTCTGACTGGTGTGGCTCAGTGGACTGAGTGCTGACCTGCAAACCGAAGGGTCGCCAGTTCAATTCCCAGTCAGGGCACAAGCCTGGGTTGCAGGCCAGGTCCCCAGTAGGGGGCGTGTGAGAGGCAACCACACATGGATGTTTCCCTCCCTTTCTCCCTCCCTCCCTCCCCCTCTCTTTAAAAATAAATAAAATCATTAAAGTGCTTAGGAAAGTACACATCACACTATAAGCTCCCCATAAGTGAAAGTTACTATCTTGACTATTACTCTGTGCCCTTTATTCTGTGCTGCATACATATTCCTATTCATCCTCACAACACCACAATGGGAATATACTGTTATTACTCCCAAAGCCAAGGTGAGAGAAATGGGAAGTAATTGTCCCGAATGGCTGAAGCCAAACCAGCCTCCCTTCAAAGTCCATGTTCTAACTACCAAACCACAACAGAGTGATGATCTCTTAATGGAGTGTCCCGCTGCCTTGACAATTTTCTGAGGTGAGAGTCTCAGAAGGCTGGCGTTCTAGACCCACTGCTGCTGTCAGTTTATTCTGTGGCCATGGGAAGTACAACAGGTTAACCACTCTCTCAACCCGTTCCCTCATTTGGACCATGGGAATAATACAGTGGTTCCTGTTCGGCCCACCTTAGATGGTTGCTGGAAAGCATCAAATCAGTCCACGTGAAGGAAAGCGCCCTCTCAGAATCCAGAGCTCTCACCCTCTGCCTCTTCTGCCTAACTTGCACCACACGTGTTTCATTTGTTTGTTTGTTTGGTTTTTTTTTTGCTTTGTCCCCAAAAGAGCAACCTTTTCCCACTGACCCCTTGCCCGCAGGCCTTCTGCTGCCTTCCATTCCTCCAGAATTTTGCTCACACTATTCCCTCTGCCTGGAACATATCTGTCCCCTCTGAATAGGCAAGACCACATCTCACTCATCGCAATATCCTAATGCTCAGCAGCACCCCATTCTGATTCCAGGTCGACTGTCTCATGGGAGGCTGTGGCTGCAAGAAACGCCATCTTGTCCATACAGTTCATTTTCAATGCTGCCTACTGACAAGAAGGCGGAGGAATAACGAATCCATCCAGCTCCATATTTGATCTCCTGTTCCCAGGAGTCAGCCTCCTTAGCTTTTAAATAGATGCTCTTGCCTGCCTCCAATCACATTGCGGTTTTGTGCTTTCTCCAACTTCTTTGGATTAAATCATCTGATGGCGCACTGAAACAGGCCCTTGGGTATTATACAACCAGGCTGTGAAAGGAGGGGTTCCATGAGGAGGAAGTCACAACCACGCACGATCAAGTTCCCAAACATGAGCTCCACACTTGGGCTCCTGGTAAAAAAATCTCCGGGAAAAAAAATTCTTTAGAAAGAAGCTGTCAGTGGTATGTTCTTTCTCCCTTCCTCTCAAGTGGATCTAATGAGCGTAAAGGGTGGCAAAGTGACAGCTCAACTAAATACCAGCATTAGAGAAATTAGAAATTGAAATTCCCCGGAAAATGCGGTCCTCAGGAACATGTCCTTCTCCCTGTTGCTCGCCTAAGCGGCTCTGAAGTATTGATTACCACTTAGAGGTTCAGTCTATGCGCAGTGGAATGGGACGCTCAGGAATTATTTTTATAAGCAGATGATTAAAAAACAGAATTTGTCTGTCAATTTGGCGGGAAGGATGGTCATGGCCTGAAGTGTGCAGGCTTAGGTAGACCTACTAGGTGCATTGGGGTGAGGTGATCCCACCAGGAGTAAAAGAAGTATGTTGGCTGGCCCGCACCAGAGAACCAGCTTTGTAATTTTGTGTTTGGGAGTGAATTAGCATATAGCATTCTTCAGCCAAGCGTTCATCTGCTGGTGATGAAATTCTAGGGCTTGAAAGAGATTTGAAAGGCTGCTGAATCAACCCAGTTGTTTCCTGGCAATGCCCAAAGAGATGAACCTTTCTGTTCTTAGTGAAGCACTGCCACACAGATTTTTCTACCCTTCTTAGAAAGCTATTCAAGGACATAATACCTCTCTTTAGCAGGAAGTTTTGCCTTGGCTCTAATCTAAATCCTTCTCGCTGCTCTTCAAATATAATTCCTCTTCACCCATCCAGGGCTCTGTGAAGTTCTAGCTAAGCTATTCAGACTCCCCAATATCCCTGTTGGTAAGGATCCTACCTCCCAGTCTAGGACAGAGGCCTGCCACTGGGCAATCTTGTCAATATTCTCCAAACGCCGCTTGCGTTCATTGATCTGCTGAGTCACATTTCTCATGACAGCCAAAGCAGCTGCCACATACCTGTAGTCACTGTGAAGACACAAAAGTACAAGTTGAATGACTCAATGTGCCAGAGAATCAATGTGCTAGGTGCCAACCCTAACATCGATTCTACTCTTCCTAGTCAGTATAAGGGAGCCCTGGTTTTCCATTAAAGGCCTTGCCACATGGAGTAAAAGACTACATTACGTATCCTTTTCTATATTAAGGGGTGGCTATGTGACTAAATTATGTCCAGTGATATATAAATAAAAGCGTTAAGCAGAACTTTTGAGAAACCTTTTTTAAGGACAACAGCGTAGCCTTCTTTAGCCTTTATTCAATCATGATGTTTGGAATGTAGATGTGATGGCTGAAACCCTAGTGGCCATCTTGGATTATAAGGACAAAGTCCATACTCCTAGGGATAGGATAACAGAAAGCTGGAAAAAGTTCAAGCCTCTGATAAACCATGGATCCACTATGGCAGCGACAGACTGTCTCCCTGTGGACTTCTTTTTCATGAAATAACAAGACTCTTATGTTTTCTACACCATTATTTTTGTGTCCTATGTGGTACAAGAAGCCAAGGACTAAGAAAGGAGCCTCACACATGGCTTGGTGCAGACAACTTTACCATCTATCCTATCACCTATTTCTAGGGAACTCTGCGCCAAGTCCCTGTGAGATAACCCACATCCTTGCCCCACAACCAAATCCACACCTTGCCTTCCATACAGTATAGACATAGGATACTGCACAGTGGATAGAATAGTCTGAAGCCAGACTCGTTGGGTTCAACTCCAGTTTTGCCACTGACTAGTGGTGTGGCCTTTGGCAAGTCTCATTCACCTTCTCAGTGACTCAGTTTCCTTGGTTTCCTATAACACGAGGAGACTTAGAGTAGAAGTTACTGAGGGTTTAATCATCCATGCTAAACTATTTGACTCTCTAACTCCAGGTTGTCTTTTGCACACCTGCCAGACCACAGTCTTCAAACACTACTGCATTTTATCATCTCCAGTGACATGATGCTTACTATACCTCCTAACCAGTTTATTTTGTCCCAAGACAACTCTGTTAAGAAAGACACTCCTTTATCTTGAGCCTTTATGATTGTTAGCTATTATCAGCTTTGCTTCTGGATCCTACCGCTGACTCATATTGAGCGTATGGTCGACTAATGCTTCCTAAATCTTTTTAAAACATGTTGTCTGGAAGCTGCATCTCTCTCAGTCTGTAGCTGAACTGTTGATTTCTTGGACACAACTGCAAGTCTTTACATTTGTTCATGCTACCTCTCATCTTTTTACAATAGATCCTCCAGCCTGTGAAGGATCTACTGGGCTCTAGCACATTGTCCGAGTTTATCCCTGGCAATGCCATCTGAGCCTGCCATTTAGAGGCAGGAGAGGGTGACGACAGAAGGGGTGGCTGCAGTGTAGAAGCTGCTGCCATAAATAAGTACCCCTGCTCATTGTGCCCAATTTCTGTGTCCCATGCCATTCCTCTCTCTGACTTGAGGGCATCAGGAAAATGCATTAAGCCACATTCTGGGAAGTAAAGCATAGAGCTATGCTGTCCAAGATGGCAGCCACTAGCCACATTTAATTAAAATTAATAAAATCAAATTTTTTCTTCCCCAGTTGCACCAGCTGCATTTCTCGGTACTCAATAGCCATATACGGCCAGTGGCTCCTTAATTAGCACAGATATAGAACCTTTACATCATTGTCGAAAGTTCTGTTGGACAGCGCTGACATGAGAATGCTTATTACCTCATTCCTGACTCAGCCATGAATTCATCATTGCCACTGCGCCATAATGTCAGTCAACCTTTGGCATTTTTAGCTGGCTGCCTTTCTCACAATGGAGACAGAGGGAATGTCCCCGTCTCTAACCTGCTCCACTAGCTTTAGGAGTGGGTGAGAGAATTAATGGTTGTGGTCCAGCCTGAACCCTGCTCAGAGCGCCCAGGTGTCCAGGTGAGGTCCGGGCCCAGCCCCCTCATGAGGAGATGGACGGAAGCAAGACTCTGTTCTCCCAGACATGTCAGCTAATCTCCCTCTTGTACACAGTCCTCATTCTCATCAGCTTAAAGAAAGATGGGTGGCGGGATGGGGACATGTCACCCTTCTGTAAGAAGGGTAGTATTGTTCTCCATTGATCACTCTCCATCCATCTAATCTTCCACCTCAGGGGCCACTCTGCCTGCCTGCATTGCAGACCTACCTATCTGAACACGCATCTCACTAAGCCTTTAAGCTGGCAGCGGTTTCTAATTGCCTTCCAACCCAAGCTACTCTGACATGCATCGCATCCTGAAACCTGCTGAAGGGGGCCGCCTGGGACCTGGGGGTAGCGCTGGGCCCAGCAGGTCATGCCGAAGGGAGACAGGGCTTGAGGCAGGCTGCTGCTGCCTGAGCCGTTCTCTCAGCGCTCTTGACTCCGGGGTTAGAAGGAGAGTGGACCAGGGACCCAGAGGGTAAGAAGGCCTTGAGCCTGGGGTTGCGGTCACAAGGTAATAGGGCACAGAAATGGCAAATCCCAGGCAGACGGCCTATCTTACTGGTTCCCACTAAACTCAGTTGAGGCCCTGGGCTGCTTTGATTTAAGAAACTAATATAGCTTTTTGCTGTGCTTTGAACATGGTTTTTCTGGGCTCTTAACAGCAACTATGCAATCTATAATTTACCTAGTTGATACCATCAGCCCCAGGTATGATTTTTAGAGCCTCCTGCCAGGTTCCACGGAACAGACTCTTACGAGTAGGTGGTAGATGAACTGTGCATGATATAAAAACATTTGAGAACCGTCCTTTGAATATCCAATTTTAAAACTATTGGTCAGAAGGCTGCTCCACTGAGATTTAGGTACAACAGAGGCTGCTTCTGGTCACTTAGCACCATGAAGCATAACTGTGGAGGTCATTTAGGCTTATGACATCGTGGGCTAGCACAGCTGGAAGACACCTTGCAGACTGGCTGATAAAATAGCTCACATGCCATCCTGGGTGTAAAAATCACCTGCAGAGCTCTTTTGAAAGCTCTGTTCCCAGACCACTGTCCACAATCTCTCTCCCTGCTTTGCCACAGACTTGCTCTTTGTCGTTTTCCCTTTCTAGGCCTAAGTCTTTCCAGCCATAGAAGGAGGAAATCTGCCTAGCAGACCTTCCTTTAAGGGCCTTTCCGTTTTAGGTGCCATAAATATTTTCCACTTTTATAATACTTTAAAAATATCTTAATGTTACTGGGGGTTCTTCAATGTCCTAATAGCTCTCACAAGGAACTATATCCTGACAAAACTTAGCACTCAGTTCTGACAATGGGTTGTATTAAATCTTTCCAAGTGAGATTTAGTAACCATCAAATTTCATGTCTAACAAGTATTCCTACCATACCCCAGCCAGCAAACTGACTCAGGGAGAAGAAAGCAGAATCTTCCTTCACCAGGTCCTTCTCTACCCACCTCCCTCATAGCCAACAGAGCACGGGAGGTAAAATCGTGACTGGTGTTGTCACACAAAGGGAGAGTCCACCGTCACTGCATTTGGATTCATGCAGTGAATTTTGAAATCTGTCCAGGGCTCCAGAACCACTGAAGCATATGACCTATTTGCTTAAAAAAAACAACATCACCTTAAAAATTAACTCAGGACCCTGACTGGTGTGGCTCAGTTAGTCAGGCATCGTCCCACAAAGGGAAATGCTGCTTGGGTTTCCCGCTCAGGGCACATGCCTGGATTGCGGGTTTGGTTCCCCGTCCGGCACATGTGGGAGGTGGCCAATCGATGCTTTTCACATCAATATTTCTCTCCCTCGCTTTCTCCCTCCCTTGCCTTCTCTCTAAAAAATAAATGAATAAAGTCTTTTAAAAGCTGAACCCAGGGACTGACGTAGAAGTCTGACATAAAGAAAACCAACTGGCCAATACCCATGGCCTTATGCGACTAGGTCTAGAAGTCAGATCCAAGGAACCCAGGAAGTGGAGCCAAATAAAAGTAGGAAGCAGGCCTAATAAGAATTAGGCAGGAAGCTAAAGAAAAATGGGCAAAGGTCTTCTTTCTTCTTCGAGTGCTCAATCAGGAAGAAAGCGGAGAGCTGGGCCAACAAGTCTAAGGTCAGGGATTTAATACCCATTAAAGGCAGTCCAGAAACAGGCTGGGGACTCTAGGACAGTGAGTAAAACATGTGAAAGACTGGGGGATGTTCACTTGAGACCATCCTCATTGTTGGAGATGACTCCCAGCATATACCTTACTGGTATGGGGTAGGGGTGTCATTTCAATTCTGAAAGACATATGCTCCTTGGTCCATTTGGGGTTGATTTTCTTGAAAATACTGAAAAAACTTTTGGGGGAAATAAACCTCTCGGGCAGTCTCAAGTCTATTTGCCCCTAGTATTCGCTGGGTCCAAGGAGGAGGTATGGTTAGAATGAAGCAGAACAGACTAGGAAAGACTAAAGAAAACCAAGGATTTTGCCTTGCAGAAGAAATCTAAGGTCAGTATAGTTTAGCAGACTGTTACCACAATATTTGAATCTATCAAGCAGCGTAGAATAAACAGTTGAACAATTATTCCATCTCGGTTGATTCGCTTGGCTAAACTCAGGACTAAGGACCAGACTATAAGCTCCCTGAAGGCAGGTCTGAGCTGTACAACAATGATGATGCATAATGATCGCATGTGCAGACTGATTTACAACTTTATAAGCAGCTCTCAGAAGCCTTCCCTTATTTTATATACATCCTAGCCTTGTGAGGTAAACAAGGATATGTCATCGTCCCATTGTGCACATAGGCTAACGGAATCTCAGAGAGGGCAAAAGAACAGATATTCTTCATAAGGACCAACATGTAGAGGAGGCTCTCTCCTTCACTCGTGCTTCCCTTACTCCCTTACCTATGGTCTTGGGCAGTATACTTAAGGAGCTCAGCCAGCTGTAAGGGATACTTGCAGATCTTCTGGACTGGAGTCAAAAGGAAACCATCGATAGCAATGTCAATCATTTGCTGCAAGAGGCGACAAGCCTCAAAGAAGTGCTGATAGCGGCTGTCCTTCATCAGTTTGGAGAGCTCCATGCAGGCGTCCAGGTGGTTGTTACAGTATTCAGAGTAGATCCAGAATCCATCTTGCTGTGGGCAGAAGGAAAAATGAAGAGAAAGTGAAAGGCTGCTGAGGATTCCAAAAGAAGTGTTGGAGAAATGGAAAAACAGAACCCGCTGTTATGGAGGGATATTAGCACGCTAACAATATCCATTTTTCCTAAACTGATTCAGAAGTTTAAATTATTTTTTAAGATTTTATTTATTTATTTTTAGAGAGAGGGGAAGGGAAGGAGAAAGAGAGGGAGAGAAACATCCATGTGTGGTTGCCTCTTGCACGCCCCTCATTGGGGACCTGACCCGCAACCCAGGCCTGTGCCCTGACTGGGAATCGAACTGGTGATGCTTTGGTTCGCAGCCGGTGCTCAATCCACTGAACCACAGCAGCCAGGGCCTGATTCAGAATTTAATAATAAAAAATAAAAGAATTATTTGGAAACTAGAAATACTGACTGTAAAATGTCATATAAAAAAGTAAATAAGTAGTAATAGTAAGGAAATTCTATAAAAGAAGGATAATGGAGGGAGACTGGTCTTTACAATAGGAAAACACACTGTGGCAATAAAACTCTGGCACTGGATCATAAAAAGAGATAGGCTAGAGGTTCTATTTCTGGCAATTGCACAATAAATTTTTTAGATAAATCTTACCACTGAGAAAAGCTAGAAAAGCTGGAAATACATAATAATTTCTGTTTGAAGGAATCCCAACATCTAGAGATTCAAATTGTCTCCACAGAATATCCCTTAAAAAATACTCCTTGGAGTATTTAGATGTAAAGAGGCCATGATGTACACAAGTTAAACAAATGGCTGAGGACAAAAATATATGAGCGTATGTATGTGTATATGTATATATAAATACGCACGTAGAGAGGGGAAAGAGCAGAGAATAAGGAGAGAGAGGGAGAGCATATTCAAATTATAAAGTAAAAGCAGTGAAATGATATGTTAACAATAGGTAAAGCTGAATAAATAGTATATGCGTGTTCTTTGTACTGTTATTTTTCAACTTTTCTGCAAGTTTGAAATTATTTCCAAGTTTTAATACCATCTACAAATTTTTATACACTGTTCAATACTCATACAAAGACTACCTGATGCATGAACAAAACCTAAGAGAAATGATAGGCAATACAAATGGATAGATAAAAAAATCAAGATGGAGTTATTACGCATAGGCTTAAAAAAGTATTATTTTAAAAAACACTAAATAGGCAAGCCATGCAGATGAAAAGAAATTAGAAAAACATATATTTAATTAAAAAAAAGACTTGTATCCAGTCCTAACTGGTGTGGCTCAGTCGTTTGGGCATCATCCCACAAAACAAAAAGTCACTGGTTAGATTCCCAGTCTGGGCACATGCCTAAGCTGTGGGTTTGGCCCCCGGTTAGGGTACATATGAGAGGCAACTGATCAATGTTTCTCTCTTACAAGATACTTCGATGTTTCTTTCTCCCTCCCTTGCTCTCTCTCTCTCTTGGAAAAAAAAAAAAAAAGAACTTGTATCCTGGAACTTGATAATAAAAAGACAAGCATAAAGAAAAAAAACATAATTTTTTAAGAAACAGGCAAAATTAGTACATTAAAAGGATGATACACTTTGAGGGATTTATCCCAATTCATTTCACCATATTAACATAAGAAAAGTAATACGATTATTTAAAAAGATACATAATAAGCATTTGAGAAAACACATTCATGATAAAAGCCACCAGCAAACTAGGAAAAGAAAGAAACTTCTCCCATGTGATAAAGGGCAATTATGAAAAAACCTAAGCTAATATAATTCTCAATAGTCAAAAGATGAATGTTTGCCCCTTAGCTCAAGTACGAAACAAAACATGTCTGCTCTCGCCATTTCTGGTTAATACTGTAGTGGATTTTCTGGTCAGCACAATAAGAAAAGAAAATAGAAGGCACACATATTGAAGAAGAAATACAACTGTCCTTATTCAGAAATGATAGGATTGTGTATACATAAAATCCTAAGGAATCTACACACACACACAAAAATACTAGAACCAACTGGTGAATTCAGTAATGTGTCAGGATTCAAGGTTGATATAAAAAACTCAATTGTATTTCTATACCATAGCAACAAACTATAGGAAATTCAAATAAAAATGCCATTTACAATAGCAACAAAAATTGAATACTTAGAAATCAATTTTTAAAAATAAGGTCAAGACCCACACAATGAAAACTGGAAACAATACTAGGAGGAAATATAGAAAACCTCAACAAAGAAATAGATAGATGTGCATGGAATGAAAACATGTCAATTTTCTCAGAATTCATCTACAGATATAACGCAATATTAAACAAAATACTGACAGGGTCTTTCATTTGTTTTTGCTTTTTGGTACAACTTAGGAAACTGATTCTTTTTTGCTGTTGTTTCCAATTTTATGAGAATTAACTGGCATACATCACCATATAAGTTACCACAAAGGTGCCAAGGTAATTCAATGGGGGAATTAATAGTTTTTCAACAAATGATACTAAAACAACTGAATGTCCATATGAAAACAAATTAACTTTGACCTTTATTTTATGTCGTTTATAAAAATTACCTATATAAGAAATAATGCCACACAACTTTTATAATAGGATAAATCTTTGTGACCTTGGACTAGGCAAAGATTTCTTAAATAAGACCCAAAAAACATGAATCCTAAAAGGAAAATAGGTATAAACTGGATTTCAACAAAATTAAAAGTTTGTTTTTCAGACACACTGTTAAGTACATGAAAGACTAAGACAGAGACGAAGAAACATTTGCAAATCACATTATCTAATCAATGACTTATAAACAGAATAAAGAACTAATGAAACTAAACAATAAGAAAACAAATAATCTTCTTAAATATAGTAAAAAAACATAAACAAACACTTCACCAAAGATTTTATACAGATGGAAAACAAGTGCATGAAAAAATGCTCAACATCATTACCCATTAAGGGAATGTAAATTAAAACCACAATGAAATACCACTAAACACCTATCAGAATGGCAACAATTTTAAAAAATACTAATAATGCCATGTGCTGGGAAACAAGTGGAGCAAGTGGAACTTTTATATATTAGAAATGAGAATGCAAAATGGTACAGTAACTTTGGAAAATAGTTTGTCAGTATCTTATAAAGGTATACAAACACTTACCATGCAACCTAGTAATTCCACAGATGTAAAGAACTTAGTAAACCACTCAGATGTCCTGGAATAAACTGGCAAATGGGTAGTATATCCATACAATGGAATACTACTAAGCAAGAAAAAGAACCAACTACTGATATATTCAACAGCATGGATGAATTTCAAAGGCATTATGTTCAGTGAAAAAAAGCTAAACACAAATGATTACTACAGTATAATTCCATTAAATGACTTTCTAGGGTAACAGAAAGCAGATTCGTGCTTGCTAATGGCCAAGGGTGGGAACAGAGATTGACTACAAAGAGAAACAGAGAGAACTTAATGAAGTGATATGAATGTTTTATATCTTGATCATGATGATAGGTACACAAACTATATACATCTGCTAAAACTCATGAAATTATACACTTAAAATTGGTGAACCTTTTTGTGTGTAATATACCGTAAGAAGCTGATAAAAATGAAAGCCTCCAACTGAATAATAAAAGGGTAAACAATCCAAGTTTTTTCAAGACAAATTACCACAGAAAAAAGGACAATACACTATAATGAGGTAGAGTTTATCCCAGCAATGCAACTATCATTTAACATGAAAACTGCTAAGTCCAAATTTACCATTTTAACAGGTTAAAGGGCAGGAGCATATGATCATTTCAGTGGAGCAGTGGTTCTCCTGACACCCAGGTAACACTTGAAAATGCCTGAAGGCATTTTTGGTTATCACAGCTGGGGCAGTGGGGTTTGCGGTGGAAATCCAGTGGGTAGAGACCAGAAATGCTGTTAAACACCCTACAATGCACAGAGCAGGCTGCAACAGAGAACCATTATCCCATATTCTACTTACCCCACTCGACGTGACATTTATGATATCTATACACGTTGTAGTAAGGTTCATACGCCTACTGTGTTGATTCTTGCTACATAATACCCTACAGTAAGCAACCTGTTTACTTACATATCCTGTTATAAGTAACCTGTTTCTTATACATCCCTTGGAAATAGCTAAATTGCTTCTAATTGCATTCCGCCACACATAACACTGCCATGCAATGAACAGCCTTGTAAACGCTCCCTCATGGATCTCTGCGAGAACTTCTCTGGGATACATATTCAGAAATGGATATGTATCCCATACGCATGCTCAACTTTGATAAATACTTCCCGTATGCTTTCTGAAATGGCTGAACTGGTTCAAATATTGTGCGGAAAAAGTTAGCATGTCAGGCCTGAGACTGCTGTCCTTAGAAAGACCTGCTTGAAATGTTGACCCTTGGCTGGCATCTTGAAACTTGGATCTGAAGGGGGATCTCACCAGTCCCTGACAGGAGTGGCTCTTTTATTTATATAAACAATGTTGTGGTTTATAATGAATGCCCCCTTCCCTTCTTGGAATCTAGAATTTGGGTACATGCTAGGCAGAGGGTACCTACATCAGCAGATCCCCGTAAAATCCTTGGGCACTGAGTCCCTAATGAGTTTCCCTGGTAGAGGATATTTCATATGCATTGTCACAACTCATTGCAAGGGGAATTAAGTGCATCCTGTGTGACCCTACTGGGCAAGGAGTCTTGGAAACTTGAGTCTGGTTTACAGACTTTGGCCACTGTGCCTCTTCTTTTTGCTGATTTTGCTTTGTATCTTTTAGCTGTAGTAAATCATAACCATGACTATAACTTCCTGATGAGTCCTGTGAGTCCTTCTAGCAAATCACTAAATCATATATCTATGAGCAAAGCAGGAGAATTTGCATGAAGGCCCATTTAGCTGCACACTTTTTATGTGCCGGTTGAAATCTGTACCATGTGCGCATGTTATCTCTTTAAAAATAAATGCTTTATAAAAAGGGGGCAGAGAATTGTCAAAACAACTAGGTCACCTGTGAATGAGACCCAAAAGATGTAGAGAACCACAGGGGTACAGAGCAAAAGCTTCTTATATTCCAGATGAGGAGGCCCAAAGAAGGTCAGGAACTTAGCCTAAGTTCCCCAAAAGTCATTACAGTCACAGGACTCAAATCCTCACTTTCCTGCTTCCTAGCGCTCTGTCCTCTAAGTCAGGTGGCCTGTTTTCCTGCACATGTCACTTCTCCTACCCTGGTGCTCTCCCCTAAGTGCTTCACAGGGACCTACTTTCATGCTGACCATGGTTACTCCTATTTCTCAGATTCTCCATGCCGTGAATAATTTCAGAGTCCTTCCCAAAACCCTGGGCCCCCTAGTAACGGAACCCAACAGGAAAAGAAAAGAGAAGCAGAAAAAAAATCCTACTGGTAATCCTCTGGAAGGAGAGAGGAAAGGGAAGGACATGCAAAGAAAGAGAATCCTCGTCCAAATCATAGTATCTCATACCCCGGCAAAGTTGTCAACATCCGAGTCAGAGAGGAATCCATCCCCTACCATAGAACAAAGAGCCGAGCGGGACCAGACAACTCAGATAGTCCTCCAATTGCTTCTTGACTTCTTTCAACGCTCCTCCACCACTGCCCCCAAAGGGAAAGATGCTTACGTGCTCCAGGAAGCAGGGTCCTATCTCGCTGAGGTGGGGGTCATCATTGTTGTACTGCTTCTCCAGGTCTCTCACAAAGCCCATCTGAAACCTGTAGATGTCTTCAATGTTCCCAAAGATGACCTTCAGTTGCTCATCGCTGAACATGTCCCTTCTCTTTCGGCATTGCTTCAGGTAGCCCTGCAGACAAAGAAAAAGCCCAGGTTGAGGATGTCCCTCATTCCTTGAAGGCTTTACTACTTCCTAGGCACTTGGAGCCTTCTATCAGTTCCATGAAGTAGACAGGGAATAATCATTTGCATTTTTCATATGAGGAAACTGAGGTTTACAGATGGAAGCTACTCTATCAGTGAGTAATTAGGAAAGTTGAACGTCAAGCAAAGGTCTTCAGAGTGCAAAGACTCCAGAGTAGAGAGCTTCGGTCACCATCCTCTATGACAAAAGCCTCAAAAGTGCTAGGGCCCTCTCTCAGAAGCTGGTTAAGTACGACCATTTTCACTCATTTCAGTAGTTATTGGTTTAGCTGGATCTATTCATATCTCTAAAGTTTTTCTTATAGGACAAAGTCAAATGGTGTTCATAACATTCACAACAATTTGGCCACAGAGGCCCCGGCAGGAAAACTTCCCAAAAGGAAAGAGGAATTGACAAAACCAAACCATTCCTTAACACAATGTCTTAGCCATCTGAGGTAGCTGGCCAGGAGACATGGTTTTGACGAGCTCAGCCAACAAGCCCACAAGTGTCCAGGCATGGTGTTTTTAGCAGAGTAAGCATTCAGGGCACGTTTGTGAATAAACAGACAATTTAATCCAGCTAGCCACTGATGAAGGAGAAGAATCGATGCAAGAGATTCTGAGTCTAATAAGAGAGCACTAAGATAACACAGCCAACTTCAGGCCACACCGTAAGTCATGGCCAAAAAAGAAAAAAAAAAAAGCACCAGCTTTTCACTTTGAACCTACTGATGTAGATTTTTAACAAATGGCCACCATCCGCATGAGCAATCATCAGCGCATGAAAATGTTCTTGGTGAGAATGAACTATGGTCACTTGCTTTCATCTAAAAGCCAAAATGCAAGTTTTAGAACACTTTTCTTAAGTGTGGAGTCCCTAATGCAGAGCACTGTACTGACTGACCTACCACTTCTGACCCTGTCTCTACCTCCACTTTGTTTCCCCTAACACAGCCTCAATGCCCTTTACCAACCTCTACTAAATCTCACTTCCCTTATCTCTTCCCTACACTCCACTTCAGCCATTAATTATCGTCTTTTGACAGCTTGCAGGATAATAGTGTGTGCCTGTGTTAACTAATGGCCACTGCCCTCATTGAGTGACATGTTCAGGATGGCCTGCATTCATTCATATCCAATAATATGAAAAAAACTCATATTCATAAACTAATTGAGTAATTCACATGCCTGGGTTGCAGGCCACGTCCCCAGTAGGGGGCGCTCGAGAGGCAACCACATGAGAGGTAGCCACACATTGATGTTTCTCTCCTCTATCTCCCTCCATTCCCTTCTCTAAAAATAAATAAATAAAATCTTTTCTTTAAAAAAAAAGAAAGAAACTCAAGGAAGGCTGCCTATTTATTTCACTTTGTTCTAAAACTCACAAGGATTGATCTAGAAGCAGAGATCTAGTGCAATAAGCTAAAATTAGTATCTTGATATGGAATACAAAACACAGCCATGATCTCCAGGGAAGGTCCCAAACGTCTCAGGGCAAAAAAAAGTGAACAAAAAACCTCTGCATCATCTAGGTTTGGAAAACACGTTAGGGATAGGCCCTCACAAGTCTGGACCTCAGTGTCTCCATCACCATATGTTAAATTTCCATATATCATATATATCAGAAAGTATTTCCAGGGCCCTATTTAGCTCTGACTTTCTAGAGATTTCATATATCGTTTGGCCTGGAAGCCTGATGCCTGACAGGAGACCTGATAAACATCTTGAAAATAGATTTAAGAAAAAAGTAGGGAATGATGGCTATGGTTGCCTTGTTCGCAGCTACACTCCCAGAGTTTAACACAGTACCTGGCATGTAGTTACTGCTCAATAAACATATGGTGAATAACTACAAAAGGCCTAGATCTTCTCATGCTAATGATGACAAAAGGTAAACTGGAAGCAGAACGTTTAAACTGGTGGCTGTCTTTTCTTCTTTGCCATTTTGAGTCAGGAAATCCTTTCTTCAAATTAAATGAAACCACTTAAAAAACCTAGAGAATGTCAGGAAGAAAGATATTTGCCACATGGAAAGTGATAACAGATTAATATCGGGAATATGTAACAAACTCCTTTAAATCAGCAGGAAAATATGACGAACTCCAGGAAAATGGGCAAAGGATCGTAACAGGGCCTGGAGTGTCCAGGTGGTGCAGAGAGGTAGGGCCGAGGGCAGCCAGAACCCCTGGGCTTGTCCCTTCAGGCTGACAAGCTGCCAAATCTCTTTACCTTAGGATGCCATACAAATATTACCATTTGGCACAATGCATTATCATTTTCTATTTTCTATTTACACCAAGATGTAAAGACAATTGGAAAGTATTGAGAGAGGCAGTTCACAGAAGGGAAAACCCAAATGGTTAATAGATTTGAAAACCCCAGGCTTAAACATATCAGGTGGGAATTACTTGAAGCTACAGCGTGATAAACTCAATTAGGTCTTAAGGAGGAATTTCTTGACGGTGAAGGTATGAGACAGTGATATGAATGACTGAGGCAAGCTCCTCCAGCTTCTCTGGAGGAATCTGAGCACAGTATTTACTTCACAGGCTTGGAATGACTGAGATTATCTTCCTCAAGAGAGGTAGATGAGGCAACTTCATAAGGCACCTTTAGCTTCGCTTGCCCTGTACCTCCATTTCCCTGATAAGAGTTGGAAGGTTACAACAGGTAATATCACCAAGGTGATCTAGAACTAGGCCAAGGCTCTTTTATCCCACTGCCTGGATTTACAAAGAATAATGTTGTCTTCTGCAGAGAACTCATTTAAAAAAGATCTTTTCTCTTACGGGCCTCACTGAATGACTCTGACTTCATTTCCTACTTTCACATTTGTCACCCAAGGGCATTGTAACTTAAATGTTTGTAAAGTGCTTTCTGCTCCCAGGAGAGAGTGAGAGAGAGAGAGAGAGAGAGAGAGAGAGAGAGTGTGTGTGTGTGTGTGTGCGCGCGCGCGCGCACACATTCTCTAATAGATAGTGGCTTTTTACTATACTGAATGTGGTGTCCCTCATTTCTCCTTCAACAGCACAAGGGTCGGAAGTGTTTGGAGATCTCCCTGAACCTATAGAAAGGGTAGACATTAACACATTCATGCCTGAGTAAGATGTGCCTCCATGTGTACCAAGGAGGAAATGGCAGGAAATGCTCAAATAACCTGGATCGCCACCAGAGCTTTCTCTAGTGAGGGCATATCTAGATCATACAGAATCAGAGAAAGTAAAATCCAGACAGCACTTAAAGAGCAACTCTTCCAATCCCCTCATTTTCATGCTGGGGAATAAGGCCCAGGATGGAAAAGAGTCACCTGAGGTTCCTCTACCTGTCAGGGATAAGCTGAGACCTGAACCCGGAACTCCCAATTCTGAGTCTAGTGTTCTCTCTGATAAACCATATTTTTCCTTACAGTTTCAGGTTTAGAGGTGACACATGCTGGGCTAACATACTGTCTTCTGGCCCAGATAAACACAACTTTCTCCAACCTTCTGTTGCTGTCGTTACAGTTTCCTTTTGTGACAGCATGGAGGGATCTATAGAGTATGACGCTAAGTGAAATAAGTCAGTCAGAGAAAGACAAGTACCGTATGACTTCATTCATGTGGAATCTAAAGAACAAAATAAATGAACAAAACAAAAATAGGATTGTAGACATACAGAACAGACTTATGGTTGCCACAGGGGACAGGGTAGAGGGGATGGGTGAAAGAGGTAAAGGGATTGAGAAGTAAAGACTAGTAGTCACAAAATAGTCATGGGGATGTAAAGTACAGTATAGAGAATACAGTCAATAATATTGTAAAAGCTATGTATGGCGTCAGATGGGTACTGGAAATATCAGGGGAAGCACTTTATAAAGTATATGATTGTCTGGCCACTAGGCTGCACACCTGAAACTAATAAAAAATAAACTTGAATGTAAATTGTAACTTAAAACATTTTTAAAACTTTAAGAACTTCCTTTGACACCTGTGGTTGCACAGTAGGACAAACAAATATTTCCCACTTAACCTCCTAACTTTAGCACCAAGAATGATTACAAAATACCAAACTGGCAGATTGTCAACAAAAGCTTTGCATGGGTTAGCTAGATTGAGCCTACGCTCTTCTGGAGACAAATACTTCCATTGCTGTCCTTACCCCATGCCCTGTAGAAAGAAGCCAATATGATTGGGAGTTTGGAACAGAAGCTCCTTCTAAGACTAAAGGACTCCTACTGGGTCAGTGCCTGAAAACCCTGGGAAAGTAATTATATATCTCAGATCTAGAAAATGAGAATAATAACAACAACCTTTGTCCTGTCTAAAAAAATCTAATGGCATAAAACGTGAATGCACTTTGCTAAAACACTTTAATTGTGACTTTCAACAATATTTATTGGGAACTACCATGCGCCAGGCACTGTGCTACATGCTGAGGATACATGAGTAAATCAATAGGTAAAAACACCCCACCCACCATGGAATTTACATTTGAGTAGGGGAGAAGGACAATAAATAAAACATAAAAGCAAAATATATGTTAGGCAGCAATAAGTGCAAGGAAGGGGGAGACGCAGTGCAAGCCTACAACTGTAAATAGAACGGCCAGCAAAGGTCTCCAGGAGAAGGCAATATCTGAGTGAAGACTTGAAGGAGGTGAGGAATGAGGCCATGGAGACTTTGAGGGAGGAGTGCTCCAGGCAGAAGAGAAAGCCAGTGCAAATGCTGTGGGGGGAGCATGCGAGGCATATTTTAGGAATGGCAAGAGACCAGTGTGACTGGAATAGTTGGAAGATGTAGAAAAGGAGCAGGAGATGAAGTCACGGAGGTAAGGAGTGATTGATCATGCAAGGATATGTAAGTAACCGTAAGAACTTTGGCTTTTACTCGGGGAGATATGGTGAGCCATCAGAGGGTTTTGAGCAGATGAATAATATGACCTGCTTAGGGTCTTGAAAGCATCCCTCAACTGCCAGGCAAAGAACAGACTGGACTTAATTGTATCACAAACCCTGTGATATTATCAGATGGCTATCCTTTTACAACAGCACTACTCAAATTTTAATGTGCATTGCAAGTCAAATGGGAACCTTGTTAAAATGCAGATTGGGACTCAGTAGGTCTGGAGTGGAGCTAAAGATTCTGCATTTCTAACAAGCTCCCCAGTGATTCAGATGAATGGTGGTCTACGCCTAAACACCTCGAGGCTAATTAAAAAAATATATTGGCCATTTGTGTGAATGTAGGAGGAAGAGAAAAAGATAAGAGGCATGGGTGGATGGGTGAATAAATAAAAGGGGAGGGGAAGAAAAGGAAAACTACCTTTTCTCAAATACTTACAATGTGTTTACTTAATTGTGTCAATAAACTTAAGAGGTTAGTGGAATGAAGCTCACTGAACAAATCAGAAAACCAAAGGTCAGGGGAGTTAAGGGGAACGTTCAAGGCCGCAAAGTTCATTAGTGACTAAGTTAGCATGTGAAAGCCAGCACTCCGTGTCCCCAGAGCCCTTGTTCCTTCCAATTGCCCCCATGAAGAGGGGAAGACAACCTTGACCCCTCTGGGAAGGCAAGAAAATAAGTCGAGGTGAAGAAAGTTAGGCCCCACAGTCCTTGGCTTTGATCATTCCAGAGATGCACTGCCCAATGTGGCTGCCATTAGTCACATGTGGTTATTTAAATTAAAATTTAAAATTCCATTTTTCAGTCATACTTGTCACATCTTAAGTGCTCAACAGTCACAGATAACTGACTAGTAGCTACTATATTGGAGAGTGAGGATATTTAGAAAACATTTTCATCACTGCAGGAAGTTGCATTGGGCAGCAGTTCTCTCAATAACCAAGAACTTCAGAAAAGTGTTAGAGTTAACTGGGCCCTAACTGGGCCCTGGTCCCACTCAATAGAGATGGGGGGGGCAGAAAGTGGGGCAGGACTCCCTCATTTGGAAGGAAGGAGATAAAAATATTAAAAGTAGAGTTTTTGCTAGTTCAAGCAGAATGCTACAGTGTGTGTATATGTATGTGTATCTGTGTATGTATGTGTGTGTGTGTGTGTGTGTGTGAGAGAGAGAGAGAGAGAGAGAGAGAGAGATCCTTTACTCTGTTTCCCATTGGCTTTCCCATACTGTTTAAGTAAAATGTCCTTTGTAAATCCTAACTTGTTTCTGCTGAGTTTCTGCTGAGTGAGGACGAGGGTTCTCATCCACACTTAGGTCAGAGCGATGGAAGGGATGGAGTTAGGGGATGTGGAACCACAGGTCCTGGTGAGGGCAGAGAGGCATATTGAAGGAGCCGAGACTTGTGCACCCAACCTTCAGTTCTTACACATTTCTCCCCCTAAGCCTTCCTTTCCTCAAACCAAAACAAGTGTTCTCCAAGTGCAGGAGATATACCAGCAGCGTAAGTATCACGGAGGATGCTTGTTAAACATAGAGATGCGCAGACTGAGAATTCACAATTTCGGGGTTGGGGGCAGGGTGGAAGGGGGCTGGGATCCACATGTTTAAGAAGCTCCCATAGACTCGATACACATTCAAGTTTGTGAACCACTGGCTTGGAGGGAGATGTGTTTTGCTTTAAAGAATAAGATCAGACCCTTTCATGAGGTGGCAATAACCAGATCAGAAGCCAAGAGGATATAGGGGTAGAGATTCAGGGGAGGAAGGAAGGAAAGTGGGGGAGGTGGAGGGGGAGAGGGAGAGAGAGAGAAAATACAAACATGAAAGTTAGACATAGAAACACATAGATAGATAATTGAGAGGGAAACAGAAAGAGAAATAGATGCAGTGCGAAAAACTGGGAAGCCTCAAGGAAGCAGTTTCTAACAAACAGAATCCAGGAGGCCTGTCAATATGGTCTTTCCAAGATCTTGGGACTGTCACAGGTAGGGTCCAGGGGAGTGGTTGGTTCTACATGGAAGTGCACTCTACTCCACCCTAAGTACCCCCGCATGCACTACCATGGCTGGGCCTACCTCGCAAATGTCCTTGAGGTGCTTGATATAATGACGCTCAGTGCTCATGATTTCATTGATGACATTGGCCCGCATCTGGTCCCGGTTCTGCAGTGGCCGGCCCAGACACAAGCAGTCTGAGTTGGGGTCCAGGTGCCCATTCTGCACATCGCTGGGCCCTTCCTCTACCCCATCCTCCTGGTTCACCCAGAGCTGTGGAAGAAAGCAGAATGGATTAGCTTCCTTCTTTGAGAAGTTTCCAGCCAAGTAGAAAAAGGACCAAGTCAATTCTTCAGGTATTCAGAGAGCCTTCAACCAGAGGCCCCTGTTAACCGAATGCCGGGCCTGGCTCCAGGGTGACTTGCTGTCCCTAGGAATGGGTCCAATTCTCTCTAGGCTTCTGGTGACCCATCTGTAAAATGAAGGATGGGGAAGGGTGGGATTAAATTGTCTTCAGAGTTTTCTTAGCTAAGATGATTTCAGAGGAGAGAAGAGTTATGGCAAGCAGAACTCGTTCATGCTGGGGCAAATCTAGGGAGCATAGATGGATCAAAAAAAAAAATAAGGATTAAGTACATATTAGGTGCCATGGCTGGATTATTGTTAAACACAACATCTATGAGCATGGAGATCAAAGTTAGATACTAGACTGGGCCTATCAAAAACAGGGGCTTTGGTGTTGATTTCCATCAAAGGATGCACAAAATAATCATTAAACTTTGACTGTAAAATTCCTTGGATTTGCAAAGATCTGTACTTCTTCAAAGTTGGAGTGGAGATGACAGAATGTCCCCATACCACATAACAGCAATGGCTGTTTATCGAGCACTTACTATATACCAGCCACTATGCTAAGATTTTTCAACGAACGGTATTATTCACTTCTGCTGGGCAGGTACAATTATTATCACCATTTCAGAGAATGAGACTGAGCCTCAGAAAAGTTAAGGAATTCATCCCAAGTCACAGAGGTAGGAAGGAGAGGAACTGGGATAGGAGCCAGGCAGTCTGACTCCAGAGCCTATGGTCTTAACTACTGTTCCAGCACCTTTGGCCTTTGGCTCTAAGAGAGACAGGAAATAAATAGAGAAGGAATTGGGACAAGGTAAGCTGAGAAACATTAGACTCATCAAAATGGGGTACAATAGGTAGAAGTTGAAACTATCCACTCCAAATCAGAAGGCAAAACACTTCTGTTGGGGAGGCTGGGTAAGATGTCTCTTGATCTGGGATGACTTAACTCAGAATGACAGCTCATGTCATCCCAGTCCGAGGAAGGAGGAAAACCAGGGACATGGGGAAAAGGAGGGGCAACACCTTAAAAGGAGTGGTCAAATCTGCTGGGGGAATTAGCCGAAGAGCTTGCCAGTTGTCTCTATAGTGTTATTCAACCATTCACCTTTCCCACCCATACCCCCCATATTTTTTCCACATTCCTGCTTCAGGAAGCTAAGATCAGGCAATTTCAATATATTCGTATTTCTGCCACCAGAAAAGCAGGTTGGTGGGTGGTCTTAGGGGACAGAGGCTTTGGGACAAAGCTACAGGGACAGTAGTTACTTCCCAACTCTGTGAATCCTCCTCTCCCATGGCCTCACAGAAGTTGGGAAGCCTGGCTACCTCCCAGTGAACCTAGAGATGACACGCGCGTATGGTCTACTTATTTTCCACAGGCCTAAGCAAGCAGAGCTTGATCCACTTCAATGCATTTTGCATACACAGCCACACTTGCATAAATGTATTGCTACCCAGAAGCTATCACCCTCCGCAAATGATCTATTGTAAATCTCTTTCCAGCTTGCAAAGGTCAGCTTCGTGTCTCTGATATGCTAATAGCTGTCCTTTAATACAGTCAATAGGCAATGGTGAGGAATGATTAATCAAGGAACAGATCTGTTCAAAAGGGTGATTCTAAGGCATTGAAGCAAAGACATCATGTACATGATGCTGTCTATTTGTAGCAGTAAAAACCCCATCCTCTAATAATCTATTAGCTTTTCCCAGCTTCTCATAAAGCAAGCTAATCCCCGCTATGAAAAAGGTAAAATAGGCAGACCTTTAAGTGATAAGAACTATTTTTTTTCTTCTCCGGAGATTAAGACAGTCAAGCCGAGATGAAACATTGTCTTTTGGATGGCTGAAATGAGATGACACTTTGAAACACCTCCAGTGGGACAGAGCAGAGGATACTGATGTGGTCGGGTGGGGTGGACAGTCAGGTCAAGACAGAACCAAATTTAGGTTCAAATTGTACTTCAAATAACAGTGAAAGGGTAGGAAGACAACTACAACCAGGTGGATACAGATATCTTACACAGAATTTGTGAGAGAAGCCCCTTCTGGTAAGAACTAAAGGCATGGATGGAAGGACTCTTCATAAGGAGCTTCTGAGAAGACAACACCTTTATCTACTATACTGCAACAACCCCATTACTTGGGTTAACATGCTACCCAAATCCAAAAGAATGGCCGGTTCATCCATTCATTCATTAGATCTGCGTGAGAGGCTTAGAATGCACCAAATACTGGAGATACAGCAGCAACAAAACAGACATAAATCTCTGCCCACTGTGGGGCTGACATAGGAGGGGAAATGTTTTTAGCCTGGAAAAAGGTATCATGTGAGGCCCAATTATTGTGCCCCCAGGCTGAGGGGCCCACAAAAGACCTTCTGGGCCCAAGACCGTAACTTTCTGGAATGAACTCTCAGGCCCCTTGCTCTTGAGAGTTTTCCCGCTGTGCACAGATGAAGGCCCCTGTCTGCTCCCATGTCACAGTGCATTGACTCAGGTGAGGCCATGAGTTCATCTTCTCTGGGCACAGTATCAGCCCAGAGTACCACGTCAGCCCCCGCACCAACAAACTGATGCTAACGTACCTGTTCACAAGAGTTTTACATTGACACTGCCATTGGCACACATGGGCTTGTGGATGACCAGAAAGAAGACAGACAATGCCCAGAGGCTGGCAAGTAGGCAGGCTTTCCTGGAAGTCCTCTCCGAGTACTTATTTTCTTGAGTCATCACTCAGCTCTAAGCAAGGCTGGGTTAATGCAATTCAATTTAACAACTGCCTATTTTGGACCCATTTTGTGCCTAATCACTAACTCTGAGAATCATGGGAGTGAGCAAGAGAACTGACTACTCCCTCCTCCCACAGTTTCAGGGAGTATCTTCCAAATCAGAGAAGATCTCTGGTCCTTGTCTCTTCCTTTTCCATTCCTTCCTGTCACGGCCCCCCTTCCGTAAGTGATTTCCCTGGGTGACTCCCAGCTCCAATGCCTCCCCCACACACATTTCTTTGACTAGCATTTTGACTGCCTACTCTCAATAGCTGCCTGTTGCTAAATCCAAATCTCTTACCCTGGAATTCAAACATTACTGTAACCTGGCTTCAATCTGCATTTTCTTTCTTATCTTCTACTGTGCCCTTCAGGAATACTGGACTCCTTCCAAACGGGTCCACTCCTGTCTGTCCTCAAAGGTTCCAAATGCTTAAACATGGAAATAGCCCAGGAGCTTTCAACAACTTTAACAAGTATGAACAAATATCTCAATTTCCTGATAAGAAACTATGGCCCATAAAGGAGAAATGACTGACAGAGAGTTAGCAACATACCCAGATCTCAATTTTGATATGCCTTTTTATTCTGTATGTATCTTCCATTTTCTCTTTGTTTTTAAAGTTACATAGTTGATTACACTTGTTTTGTAGAAAGTTAAAATATAAAAAGGAGAACTCAAATTATTAAAATCAGGAATAAAAGAGGAAATATTACTACCAACCCTACAGAAATAAAAAGGGTTAAAGGGAACACTATAAACAAGTATATGCCAAAAGATAACCTGATGAAATGGAAAAAATCCTAGTAAGACAGAAACTGACTCAGGAAGAAAATCTGAATAGATCTATGACAGATAAAGAGATCAGATTAGCAATCAAAAACTGCCCACCTGGGCGGGGAGGAAAAACAGGCCCAGATGGCATCACTAATGGATTCTACCAAATATTTAAAGAACAATTACCATCAATCTTTCACAAACTCTTCCAAAAAACCAGAAATGCAGAAATATTCAGCAAAATACTTGCAAACCAAAGCCAGTAACATACTAAAAAAAATTCACTCAACCAGAAGGGATTAATCCCAGGAATGGAAGATTTGATCAATATATGAAAATCAGTCAATCCAATACACCATATTAATGAAATAGAGGTTTAAAAAAACATGACCATCTCAGTAGACACAGAAAAAGCATTTGACAAAAACCCAATACTCTTTTGCGGTTAAAAACACACTCAAGAAATTAGGAATAGTACAGAAGTTTCTCAAACTGATGATGGAAATTTATGAAAAACCCATAGTTAATCATACTTAATGGTAAAAGACTAAATGTTTTCATCCTACAATCATGAACAAACATCACTTCCATGCAACATTTGTACTAACAGTTCTGGCCAGAGCAATTGGTGGGAAAGGGGCAGTCATATTAGAAAGAAAAATAATTCACATATGACATGATCGTATCTATAAAAGCCTAGGAATCCACACACACACAACCCTGTTATAATTAATAAACTAGTTCAGAGATGTTTTGGGATACAGGATCAATATAAAAAGTCAATTGTACTTCTCGACATTACAGTCAATCTGAAAATAAAATTACTAAAACAATCCCATTGTTGTTTTGATTGGCATTTCCCTAATAGCTAGTGAAGTTGAGCATCTTTGCATCTATCTGTTGGTCATTCGTATGTCCTCTTGGGTGAAGTGTCTGTTCAGGTCCTCTGCCCATGTTTTATAACTGGATTGTTTGTATGATGTTGAGGTGTAGGACTTCTTTATATAATGTGGATATTAACCCCTTGTTTGAGCTGATGTTTGCAAATATCTTCTCCCATTAGTTTGCTTGACTTTTTGTTTAGGATGATGGTTTCTTTTGCTGTGCAGAGGCTTTTTAGTTTGCTATAACCCCAATAAATTTAATTAATTTTTTTAAAAAGAAAACAATCCCATTTAAATAGCATAAGGATGAACAATCTAGAAATACATCTAACTAAAGACATGCAAGACTCATATATTGAAAACTGGAAAACATTTTTGAAAGAAAGAAAAGAAGACCTAACTAAATAGAACGATATCTCATGTTCATGGATTGGAAGATTTAATATTGTTAAGATAGTAATACTCCAAAAATGGATCCAGACTCAACAGA